AAGTGTATAAGAACTATTTGTGTGTATAAATATCGTGATTTAAAAAGTGCAATGTCGGAACAGCATCGCGGTTCCTGGAGCGGACGTGAAGATGCAGTTTGGTGGCCCTGGCGCAATATCTTCCGCTGATCAACAAAACGTTACACCATCAGCATATTTAAATCAACATCACCAACAGCAATTGGCCGTAGCACAAGTCCACAGCAATTGCAACAACAACAGCAGCAGCAACAACAGCAGCAGCAAGCAAGTTGTTTCTCATAGTAGTACTACGGCCTCATCTGTTGGTGGTCAACAATTATTCTCATACAAAATGGCGAGCAGTTTCCAAAATCCGCACAACAAGTGCATCGTCAAATGTGTTATGACTATCGTTTGGGTATGGTTTCGAGACCAGGAGATGGTTCCACAGCACAGTGGTGGTACCCGGGAGCAGTAGATATAGCTATACACAACAACAACAGAATATACAAGGAGCGCAGGCACCCCAGGCAACGGTATTTATCTTATTTAGTTTTTCTTCATGTTGTAGTCTAAAACTACTACTTGAGACATTTTTATATTTATTCGACATTTTGTTCACAAAAAACCGAATCAGTATTGTTACAATTCGGAAGTAATATTTCATTTATATTCTAAAATTCATAATTATGACTAGTTAGTAGATTCCTTTGTCCATTTATTAGCCCAAATGATTACATACAGATAATATAAAAGTTTATGACATTATTATGTTCTCATCTTAAAATTGTAGTCGAACTTACAACACAATTTAATAAATTACTAATTTCTCTTTATAATCATACCAGCACAATTCCAAAGAAAATGCAATAATAATCATTATTTTCTTTATAATTATTAACTTCCTTAAAGAAATCCGACTGGTTTGTCCTTTTTAGAAACGATTTTTGTCCTTCGACGTTTGATTCTGAATTGCTCTTCTAATTGAAACTAAAATTGAAAAAAACGTATATATTATATATATATATATATAATATATATATATATATAATATATATATATATAGAATTTTATGATATGAGTGAACGAATATTAATTGTTTAATATGAACAAAACAGCACTCAGATTTGTTTAACACAACTTTATTTTATGATTACAGACGTTTCGAGACCATGGTGTGTCTCATCTTCAGTGTAATTTCAAAAACAGTTACTTATATACTACACATTCTTTAATAATTTATTTAAATTTTATTTAATTTTGGTATACAAAAAACACCAACTATTCCTTGCAATGCTTGACACCGTACTAAAGAAACATATAACACTTACGAAATATTCTAAACAAATTTGAAGTACTTAATAGATGGAGACAGAGAGGGTATCATTATAATGTAAACAAAAGGAGTGCTATCGCATACCAAAATCGATAAAAATGAAAAAACAATTAATTTATTGAAAAGAATAAGATAAATGAAAAAATTTATAAATTATTAATGATGTTTATATAAGTGTCATGTAAATATTTGTGTCGGTTCTTAGATTTATGCTATGTTAGTCCGAACTATTAACATTGATTCTGCCATGCTCCGTTTAAATAAGTCTTTCTCATGGAATAAAATTTGGGGTTGTCAAAATCAAACTTATGGTTGTTGATATTAGCATGATCCACAAGTGTACTTTTAAATTTTTTGTTATCTATTTTTTCACATTGTAATTCATGTTGCCTGGGTCTCTTTTCTAAGTTCTGGCAGGTCTGGCCAATATAAGAGCAATTACAATCCAAACAATTAACACTTATATAAACATCATTAATAAATTTATAATTTTTTTCATTTATCTTATTTTTTCAATAAATTAATTTGTTTTTTTCATTTTTATCGATTTTGTATGCGATAGCAATCCTTTTGTTTACATTATAATGATACCCTCTCTGTTCCATCTATATAAGTATTCAAATT